ATCTATCTATCTATCTATCTATCTATCTATCAGTCTGTCCATATCTATCTATCTACCTCGGTCTGTCCATATCTATCTATCTATCTATCTATCTATCTATCTATCTATCTCTTCCTGTTCATATCTATCTATCTATCTATCTATCTATCTATCTCAGTCTGTCCATATCTATCTATCTATCTATCTATCTATCTATCTATCTATCTAATTCTGTTCATATATATGTATGTATCTATCTATCTCTATATATATCTATCTCAGTCTGCCCATATCTATCTATCTATCTATCTATCTATCTCAGTCTGTTCATATCTATCTATCTATCTATCTATCTATCTATCTATCTATCTATCTCAGTCTGTCCATATCTATCTATCTATCTCGGTCTGTCCATATCTATCTATCTATGTATTTATCTCTTCCTGTTCATATCTATCTATCTATCTCAGTCTGTTCATATCTATCTATCTATATATCTCTCAGTCTGTACATATCTATCTATCTATCTATCTATCTATCTATCTCAACATACTTCCTGGGCTTCCGACCATATCACGTTGAAACATGGGTTCCCGTACAAGTCGAGCCTGGTCTGTACCTAGATGGGTGACGGCTTTGGACTGCCAGGTGCTGTAATCCTTACACGTGCGCGTTTGTGTCATTGAATGGTTAATCGGAGAATCGGGTTCCAATTCCCTTTTGATTCGTTGTATTCACTTACTGCTCAAAGACTATTGTAAAATCTATGAATCCACCTTTTCTCTCACCAGCCATGGGTTAATTAGTAAGACTTGTATCAATGAACGATTATTATATCAAAATAAATTATTACAATCTAAAAATATTTTCTGGCTTTAAATAACCTGTAAAGGTTTGATAAACCGTAGAAAATGAATCATTCAAGATCCTTCCGGCTCTTACAAGTGTTATAATCCAAATATTTTCCTAGGTTTCTTATGACATGTTTTTATCATATACAAATTGCAACATTTTCAAACATGTCTATTTTATTATTTTATCTTTTTGTATAAAATGTTCAATCCGTTAGTTGTGGCTTAAAATTATTTTTATTTAAAATAAGCTAAATCAAAAAAATAGAGCTCAATGCAAAATAACAGACCTATTAAGTATTTATTAATATATATATATCTTAATGACGATTGCATGGTGCATGAAACTGCGAGTCATACTGTCAGCATGAGGTATAATGTATTTTCATTAATATAATTCAGTTGGTAACGCTATGATTCTGTATCGTATTGGTCCAATCGATTCTCTATCCATTGTTTTCAATGATGATGAGTCCCATTTATAGGACGAAACGGCCATCCTGTATATTTTTGGCGTTCTGTTTATATTTTTCTTTAAACTCGATGAATTAATTATGATTATTTCAAATCCTCCCGAATCTTTTTTATAACCTTTAATAAACCAGTTTCTAATGCTTTTTATTTTTGGCTTGATAAAGACGTGCCAGAACCTTAGTCATTTGATATTTAAGAAAAACTCTGATTGAAAACACATGTTCAATTTGTGAAGAGAGGCGCAATATCGAGTCTAAGTATTAATATAACTTTGGCACCGTTCTAATGTTTTTTTTTGGTATGACGCTTGCGTCGTATCGCAACAGTCCGCGTTCGATTCCCGGTAGTGGATACGCATTGCTGATTAGACCCAAATTTGGACAAAACGGCCGTCCAATGCTTTCTGTATTCTGTTAAAAATTCTTCTTAGACTTGATATATATATATATATATATATATATATATATATATATATATATATATATATATAACGTCATCACACACGTTTCACAGCTCATCAGTGTGGCTAGACATCCGGTTGCCTCTAGCTTTTTCGAAACCCGACTGAATTGGTGTCAGTCGGAGAATCTAAATCATTAAGCATGGTAGGAATGAAAGTGGATTTTTTAGCGTATTTATTTTTAAAAACACACAGTGACCGACAATTTTTTCAATTCGCATCTTCGAAGAGTCTGTTTATTTATATATATATATATATATATATATATATATATATATATATATATATATCGGTATATAAATCGATTCTCCAGTCATTTGATCGACGTAAAAAGGTCAAACAGATGTTTAAAAGAAACTGGACTTACCCGACACAAAAATGCACATGAAGATTTTATTTTATAATTGTGAAATATTTCGACAGGATTATCCACACTTTTTGAACAATATTTTAGAAAACAGAGACTTGGTGCTTTAAATGCCAGAAGGTCTCCAAACAACCCCAAGGTTTTGAATTCAGAGTTGTCATTCTCCTAGACCAAAATGCATATTCCATTATAAACCCCAGTCTGTCCTATATACTTAACCCATATATATATATATATATATATATATATATATATATATATATGAAGAAATATAGTCTTAAGGTGTGCTATATTTATGGGATAAATATGCTCAATATCAGAGATAGAGGTGTAAATATAAAATAACATACAGTCAACAATTTACAGTTTCATCAGTCTATGCATATGGCCTAACGATTGCATATAGCATGAAACAGACTGTCAACTCTATGAATCAAAAAATGTTCAAAATATATATATATATATATATATATATATATATATATATATATATATATATATATATATATATATAAATATACTCTCTAGTTTTGGGCTCAGTGAAATAAACCATTGCTATTTATCTCCAAATATATTTTTGTCATCTTTTTTAACACATGTGGTTGAAAATTTCAATAGGGTGATTTAAATATAAATCAGTATATGTTTCAAAAAGTAGACAACCAAGGCCTGCTTTACTGCGGTACATTGACAAGGCCACAGTAGCAAATGTAAATCTATTTTGAGAGGAAAAAATTGCTGTAAAAAACTTTTTAACATTTGCACATCGTTCAAATCGTCCTCGGTAAAACATTTGAATAGATTCAGAAGCAGGACAGACACCAGCTGTGAGGCTTTGTTCTTTCCAGGAAGAAAACGGGATGCTGCAACTGAACAGTCAGACTACCCTCACCTATCATTTGACTATATGTAAAAAAATGTTTAAACTCAATGCAAATTTCGAAGGAGCTGAATACTGAGAACTGGTGCATATATTGTGCCACAAGATCCCTAAATAGCCCTCCTCAGGCTTTCAATTCATTGTTTTCGTTCACATAGATTGGTTGGTAACCAACACTAAAGAAACTAATCTTTCCTACTATTTAACCCATAGATGGGTTCGTATCTTTCCTAATGGAGCTTACGCCTAAGTGAATGTAGTTATAAATGAACATATAAAAATTTTGTCTATTTCGCACATGCACATACATATGTGTGTGTGCTCACGCTAGCGAGCGCGCGTGTATTTGTGTGTGTGTGTATTTGTGTGTGTATTTGTGTGTGTGTGTATTTGTGTGTGTGTGTGTGTGTGTGTGTGTGTGTGTGTGTGTGATATTCTCCAGAATTGATTATGATGGTAAAGTCTTATACAGAATCAGCCACAATTTTCAGAGGAACTAAATATAGAGAACTTCTGCCCGTTCCACAAGGACTCCAGACACATTTTCTCGGGTTTCCTTCTACAAGATTGGTGGCCTATCACTGCTAAAGAGAACAGTCTGCTTCACAATTTAACCTATAGCTGATTGGAGATTCGTATCTTTCGCAAGTGACACTGTACATAAGATGTTCATCCTTCTTAATATTATGCTTACATTCTGGAAGGCATCTTTTCCTATCTCATTATATCTTCGAAATTCTATTCGATCTTTTTTTTTCCACCGTGTTTTTAACGCTTCACTGAGAGTTGAATTTTTTACTTGCTTTATTTTGATGTTTTCATTTTTCAGCACGTATCATGAGATGTCTCTTTTGCTAACCACATTTTATTTTCTTGCGATTGATAGTTAGTCTTTTCTTCTGTCTTTTCATGCCCAGTCAAATACAGATCTTTTTTTTTTTTTTTTGTTTTTTCAGAAAGGTTATTTTATCCATAGTTTAATGCGTTACGGACTGTTGTAATGAAATCACTTTTCAGTTACAGTAAAAATCATAATTACAGCAATGCCAAATAGAAAGAAAATGACACTCTGGACATATGAATATATGTTCTCCACCAGGTGTATAAATAACGGTGTCAGGCTACTGACTGCGGTGATTATTGAGTGACTATTGAGTGGAACTATCCAGTCGAATTAGTGTGAATTATTGTGCGTCAATGATTTAGGTTTTGATTTAGGATTTACCGGACGTTAAGCCGAGCTGTGCTACTAACATGATATTCACTGAAATGGTTAATTATCTTTACTTCACTTTTACTTCTTTGTTCTTGTTAAGTATTTATCTGAGGTTGTAATTAAATACTGTTTTATCTTAACATTGAAGTCTCGAGTTATACTTAATTATTAACGGCCACCTTAAGCCACAAAAAGAAATCATATTTTTTTTTAAGTATCAATATTGGACCCAGCCTTCGAACGATGTTTTAACATAATGTTTATGTTAATTCTTGCTTCAATTTTAATAGGATTGAAAGAGAGTTTCTTTTTTTTTCCAGATTGCACACACTTCAATATATTACCTTGTATAATCATATTTGAACATTTTGGAATCAAAACGCGCAAACAGGTATCACTTGGGCCTAATTGATTACAGGAAGTAACTGGGATTTATTTTATAAATTTCTTGGATTCTGGGGTCGAATTACTTTTTGGTTAATACTGTAATAATGCTGTGTTTCAGAGAGAGAACGCATAATCTGGTTTAAACCTGTCTTTTAGGCTGTAAGCATTGGACACGATGACTAGTGATCTTTTGACCTCGTTCAGCTATCGAAGATTTCCTAATAGTTTCATCTACGCAATTTCACTCAAAATGGTGGAATCAAAACGTGGTAGGGTTTTTAAGTTATTATTAAGAATTCACCTTCTTCACAAATCGATAATGGCAGCATTTGAACCCGAATCACATGATCGAAACGCTAATGTTATAAACAAAGGGTCACGTGCTCTTAAAATAGATAGATAGATAGATAGATAGATAGATAGATAGATAGATAGAAATAGAAATCAACACTGCATGTAAACTGACAGAAAGAAAGAAAGAAAGAAAGAAAGAAAGAAAGAAAGAAAGAAAAAAAGAAATACATAGAAGTATTACTAAGTGGACAGAGAAAGTTAAAGATGTCAAAAAAGAAAGAAAGAAAGAAAGAAAGAAAAGAAAGAAAGAAAGAAAAATTTTATAAGTATTACTTTTTACAGAGAAAGTGAAAGAAAGTAAAAAGAAAGAAAATTCTTTTTGAAAGAAAGAAAGAAAGAAAGAAAGAAAGAAATACATAGAAGTATTACTAAGGGACAGAGAAAGAAAGAAAAAATGTAAAAAAAGAAAGAAAGAAAAGAAAAAAAAAAAAAAAATACATTTTCTGTTTTACTAATTTGGACAGAGAAAGTGAAAGAAAGTAAAAAAAAAGAAAGAAAAAAAAGAAAGAAAGAAAAGAAAGAAAGAAAAGAAAGAAAGAAATACATAGAAGTATTACTAAGTGGACAGAGAAAGTGAAAGATGTAAAAGAAAGAAAGAAAGAAAGAAAGAAAGAAAGAAAGAAAGAAAGAAAGAAAGAAATACATAGAAGTATTACTAAGTGGACAGAGAAAGCGAAAGATGTAAAAGAAAGAAAGAAAGAAAGAAAGAAAGAAAGAAAGAAAGAAAGAAATACATAGAAGTATTACTAAGTTGACAGAGAAAGTGAAAGATGTAAAAGAAAGAAAGAAAGAAAGAAAGAAAGAAAGAAAGAAAGAAAGAAAGAAAGAAAACATAGAAGTATTACTAATGGACAGAGAAAGAGAAAGAAAAAAAAGATAAAGAAAGAAATTGAAAGAAAGAAAAGAAAAGAAAGAAAGAAAAAGAAAGAAATACATAGAAGTATTAAAAGGGACAGAGAAAGTGAAAGATGTAAAAAGAAAGAAAGAAAGAAAAGAAAGAAAGAAAGAAATTAAAGAAAGAAAGAAATATAAAGAAGTATTAATAAAATGGACAGAGAAAGTGAAAGATGTAAAAAAGAAAGAAAGAAAAAAAAAAAAAGAAAGAAATTCATAATAAAAAGAAATTACTAAGTGGACAGAGAAAGGAAAAGATGTAAAAAAGAAAGAAAGAAAGAAAGAAAGAGAAAGAAAGAAAGAAAGAAAGAAAGAAAGAAATACATAGAAGTTTACTAAAGGACAGAGAAAGGAAAGATGTAAAAAAAAGAAAGAAAGAAAGAAAGAAAAAAGAAAAACAAATACATAGAAGTATTACTAAGTGACAGAGAAAAGTGAAAGATGTAAAAGAAAGAAAGAAAGATTGGTGCAGAAAGAAAGAAAAAGAAAGAAAGAAAGAGGAATACATAGAAGTATTACTAAGTGGACAGAGAAAGGAAAGATATAAAAAGAAAGAAAGAAAGAAAGAAAGAAAGAAAGAAAGAAAAAAATAAAATAAGAAAGAAAGAAATACATAGAAGTATTACTAAGTGGACAGAGAAAGTGAAAGATGCAGAAGAAAGAAAGAAAGAAAGAAAGAAAGATAGAAAGAAAGAATACAAAGCTAACAGAGAAAGTTAAAGCTGTATAAGAAAGAAAGAAAGAAAGAAAGAAAGAAAGAAAGACCGTGCTTTTTCGAACCGTTTGTGTTAGCATTACAGAATCACAAAAACTATACAAAATGACAGTGACCATATCACTTTGATACTTTCAACAACAGTAACAATTAAAATGAATAGAAATGAAAGAAAGAAAGAAAGAAAGAAGGAAAGAAAGTAAGAAAGAAAGAAAAGAAAGAAAGGAAAGAAAGAAGGAAGGAAAGCAGGAGGCATGTCATATCCTTTATGTTCTCTCAAAACCTGAAATTTAACCACGAATTGGAAATTATGTTGAAAAATACTCAGCCCTTAAATCTTTTTTTTGCAACACGTTGCCAAATATGCGGTTATCAATATCTTTTCTTTTTTCTTTTTTGACGCTAAACAATCGCAATGAACTTTAGCAAATAACAAAACTACAACACTTACTGACTACCACGAAAACCAACAACTAAAATGGATAGCACATATGACTCGAAGCGAAAAGAAACAGAGATTTTGTCGTTCCCCACTACTTGAAACAAAATGTTAGTATGGAAATTCCCATCAATTCTGGAAAGAATCGCTGAACTCGAGAAAACTAGTTACCTGAAAAATTATAGAAAGATTTTATATAATTTAAACGATGGTAACATTGACTGCTCTGTCAATGTGTGCTGGTAAGTATTAATTTTCCGTTAGAGATGTTGTTAACAGACAACTGCACAGGCCCAGTGGCAGGGTGTGAAGAATAGCGTTACTCGAAGAGCACTAGTTGCTCAATCAATGAATCCCGAATGTTTCCTTATGAAGAAACAGCTAATATTATTATTACTATCCTTGGTAAGGCTGAGAACTTATCAGAACTCCTCAGATTTTTTTTTCTCGGCGATAAAACCTGACAGTATAAATCATACACGTCATACCCGATGCTTATTTCAAATCAGGAGAATCAGTTTAATTTGTAAAAATTATAAAAAGCCGACTTACTCTTATTTCAGAATTCTATCTTTACCCAAACACACACACACACACACACACACACACACACACACACACACACACACACACACACTCACTCATTATATACCCCCACCCACCAACAGAATCCGACTTCACGTCGGCCCCCACTCTCAACATCACCACCATCGGAGATCCGATCCAATCGAACCTGGTTTTACGTATATCGTAGCCGAACCTCAGGATGCGTCCGACCATCGCTTATAACCTAATTTGCTCAACGGCTCTGCAGTAAATTCTTTTTGTCATCTCTGCTCGGCGTAATGCGAACTTCCACACTTGACGCGTGCCAAGCTGAATACAAATGCCCGGCTACGACTGCTCACTTGCGGGCCGTTTTTAAAGATAGCACAAGAGAGAAAACAGCCAGAGAATCGGATTTCCTAGTCGGTGGAATGTGGTCAAGATGATGTCTACAGTGCGATCAATAACAGTTTTTGAGACGTCGATAGGTTTCAGCAGTCGATAGCTTTTGGCAACATCTGAAAATATTTGGACTAACTGTCTCTTCACTTCCCATAATAACCCGAAGTTTATTTATTCTTTTTATTGTGTTATTTTTTTCTCAATATTATTTTCCTTGATTTCTGTTGTATATACATTTGCTTCCGGGTGCCAACCAGAAACCTAAATTTAAAAATGGCCTCATGACATTTTTTTCTAGTGATCATTTAAAAAAACAATTAAGATCGCAGAAATTTTACATAGCTAAAGCCCTTCGTAATATATGATCTGTACTTGTGTTTACAATTTATTTTTTTGTATTTCTTTAAGGTATGGGCTATCCAGGAATCCCTTCAATGAGTCTATCGGAACCGTATTCCAATCAATCGGACGGTTACAACTCCAACTGGAATTATTGATGTCCTCATGTGCCACATTTTTTGAGATTTCCACTTCAAAATCCTTGTATTTTGATAGTTTTTGAAGATCTTAAAAGTATATTTGAATCTTTTGGGACTTCCATATCAATAAGAGACCACAGTCTGTTCTTGTTCTCTTTGATTACGATGTCTGGACGATTAAGTTTCATTATTCTGCCTCTGTGTATTGTAAAGTCCTATAAAATTGTTACAAGCCCTCTCTCTGTAACAGGGCCTGGGAGATGTTCAAACCAATTTCTTGCAGTTTCCTTCCTGTAAAAAGTGTATATTGACCCATTCTATCATACCGACTGTTATATTCAGTGGGTGCCACTAGATAAAAGATGGTCAATTTCTATCTGGATATTTATCACAGAATCGGCATTTTGGATTAACACAATTTTACACTATGTGTGCTTGGTAATTTCTAGATAGGAATCATTGGCACTGTGCGGCAAGAATAAAATCAGTTTCAGCTTTTAACCCTACGCTACGTATGTGCACGGTTTATTATTATTATTATTATTATTAGCAGCATCATTATTATTATCATCATCATCAGCAGCAGCATTATTATTATTATCATCATCATCATCATTATTATTATTATCATTATTATCATCATCATCATTAGTATCATCACCATCATCATCAATATTATTAGTATAACCATCACCATCATCATCATCATCATCATTATTATTATTATTACTGTTATTATTATCATCATCATCATCATTATTATCATCATCATCATTAGCGGCATCATTATTATTAGCGGCATCATTATTATTATCAGCAGCAGCAGCAGCATTATTATTATTATTATCATTAGTATCATCATCATCATCATTAGTATCATCATCATCATCATCATTATTATTATTATTATTATTATTATTATTATTATTAAATTCCGGAATTCACAGGAGCAGCTAGTTGCGACTATCATGAAAGTTCAAATGACTGCAATTTAATTAAAAGTACCAGGACTCTCCTCTGTATTCTAGTGAATTTTTATAATATTTATGCATTACACCCTAATCTTTATTTGGTAAAAATTTAATTGCTAATCATGCATTACTTTTTAAGTAATACACATATTTATGTCTTTGTTGTTTCTGTTCGTTATATTATGGCGGCTACTGTATATATATATATATATATATATATATATATATATGGGTAATGGCTCGGAATTGTTAATCGTAGAGCCGAGTTCCAATTTCACTTGGATTCCTTATATTTACTTATGCGCAAATATCCTTTGGAAAAGTATGAATCCACCTTTTCTCCCCCATCTACAGGTGAATTAGTAAGGCTTGTCTCACTAAACTATTAATATCTCAAAAAAAATTCTTACGACCTAAAAATATTTTAAATAACCTGCAAAGGTTTGATAATCCCTAGAAAATGACTAAATCAATCTGTATTTCTCTTGAAGTGCCCTGTTCTTTCAGGACTTCATAGATTATAGCTCTCCACAACTTCCTAATCTTTGTAGCTCTAAGCAATCTTTATTCCCAATCCCCGTTTTGCTATTTATGTACATAAGCTTCTTAGGAAGGTTATTCGATGTTTTGTTCTCCACCACTTGCTTGCAATATGCATTGTCTGCGTTAACTTCTTCCTCGGTGTTTTTTCAGAAACACGTCCAAAACATAACGGCCAAAAAAAAGCTAGAAACGTGTTTATACGTCGATCTTGATTCTTTTTATGCCCTTCTGAGCTTGAAACGACTTTTATTGTCAAATCATAGGTCTAGTAGAGTTGTTAGCCACCCGCCGAGTAATTCAAGGTACCTTGAATTTCTTAGTTCAGTCAGTTAAGTACCATGCGTGATACACGCTTAGGCGAGCGTGTATATTTCGATACATGACTGACGAGGCAGATTTTTTCCCGCAGTAGGTTACCACTTCTTTCTGTGTTAGACCGGCTGCCATTCAAGGCTATAGAACCCGGTCTCTCCTACTATTTATCCATAGCTGGGGGAGAAGAGGATTCATACCTTTCCCAAGGATATTAGCAAGTAAGTGAATGTATCGGCTGGAATCCGAACTCGGCTCTCCGATTCCGCAATCCGAGCCGCTATCTATTACTCTATGTATGAAATTTTGACAAAAGAATTGGCTGGGAAGAGGTTAAATTCGCCCAAACTTCTTTCCTCATTACGTGTCCTAGAAATTTTAGGTGTATCTTTCTGATTCTTATTACAAGTAACTTTTTTTAATCCCATTTTCTTTAAAACTTCCTCGTTGTTCACCTGCTTCATCCATGTTATTCTCACCCTCACTCTGTCGAACCATGTTTCTGTTGCCGCTAGCTGACCCTTCATCTGTGAGGAAATTATCCAGCATTCACTGCTATATAGGAGGAATGATATTGTATAGCATTTCAACGCAATTTGGCATCGAAACTTTTTCTTGTTTCTTGATACTTTGTTTATCGTTTGGAAAGCATTATTCACTATTCCAACGAGACTTCGGATTCCTGTGTGACATTTTCCGCCGTCTGTTAAAACACTTCACAAATAGTTAATTATCTGAACTTACTTGATCTTGACATTCCCAATTTGTAGCTCCCATCTTGCACTGTCTCTATTCCTAACGACAATATACCAGAATCCATCGATTAATGCGCTAAAATTTTTATATACCAAAATTCAATTCTTTTCTTTTTATTTTCCATGTCCTTTCAGGACGTAGTCGATCATGGCTCTCCACCTCCCTCTATCCCTTGCAGTTCTCAGCGAGTTCCTTCCCTCTGCCATTTCCCCCTGGTCACGTTCTGTCATCCACTTACTCAAGCCCGCAAGCAATGTTTTCCTTTGTCCCTCTTTCCCACTATTCGACCCGTGAGTATCAGATTCTCCAAGCTTTCCTTCATCATTATGTGTCCCAGAAACTTCAGCTGCCTCTTTCTGGTGTTAAGTATAAGCCTCCTGCTTGTTTGCATCCTCTCTAAGACTTCATCGTTGCTCACACGCCCGGTCCATGATATCCTTAGCATCTTTCTGTAGAACCACATCCCTGTCGCCTCAAGTCTCTTCTTTATCTTTGATGAAAATCGTTCACCTTTCGCTGACGTAAAGAAAGAAAGATGTCACATAACAGCTCAGTATTCTTTTCTTTGTTACCAAAGAAATCCTCCTGTTTCGCAATACCCTGCCCAGCCTTTGGAATGTGTCCTTGGCCATCCCCATACGCCTACGGATCTCAGTGTCGCACATACTGTCCTCTGTCAAAACGCTTCCCAGATGTTTAAATTTCTGCGTCTGTTTGATTTTTTAGTGTTAGTAAATCGCATTTCGGGATACATAATACTCGTTGAATGCGGTAAAACATTCTTCAGTTGAAACATAGTAATTGAAAA